TCTTTCATAATAGTCGCGAAAAGGGGATTCATTACCCTAACGGCGAGAGTACGTGTCACGCAAGGACACGGCCTTTCATAATAGGTCTTCACGGAGACTTGCCTCATAAGGCAACCGTATTACATCGACGGGGACAACCGTAACGATGGCCATCATAATAGCTCACATCGATAGGCTACATATTTACGTTCATACATAGATCACGCCAAAACGGAAACATATTTAACACACATTGCACAGGTAATTTTAGAATAACAACCCACCTGGATTCCGGATTGATAATAACTCAAAGCAATGGAAGTAGGTCGAGGCTGGACTCCTCAATTACCTACATTGAGTCAAAATGCTACAATCAACATCTATCTTGACTTTAAACGGAAAACACAAAACAGACCTAGTCGAACTTGTTTCGAATAAGTAGTTCGTGAAGTTCTGTGGATGTTGGAACATTAAGACTCGGCACTAAACTTGACCAAACCACATAAAGGAGTTCACATAAATCCATCTAAGGATTGACCAAGTCAAACTCATATCAAAACGAAAAGCAATTCGATTCCCAACTTTTCATTTCAAAATCATGTTTTGAAAATAGTAATCATTGATCACATGAAAATAGATGGTCAGGCTACCCTATGACTTAAGCTCTGAAATTTTACACAAAATTACATCTCTCAGAAACATGTAAAACCACAAATTTTCAGCTTCAAACTCGAAATACACTATTTTATAAAATTCGAACAAGATATCAACAAAATGGGAACATCAATTCGTACTTGAACTTAATGAATGAATCAGGACTTGCAAATTTAACACAACAACATACAGCATGCTAAAGTCCATGTATAAAAATCTCAGCCCTTAACTTTAACTGCTACTATTTTTAAAAATTTATATGAGATTCAACAGTTTATTGAATTTAAATCAAAACCGAAACAAAATGGAATTCAAAAATTCCCATCGTTTAACAGAATGATTCTATACATAAAATAGGCATCTCAGTAAAATTTCAGAATTTTTCATCAAACAACCGATTTACAAAAATTTAAACAATTTTTAACAGATTCGATAAATAATTTATTAACCAAATCAAATCAAGTCCAAATATTCTAAAAATTTAACACAACATATAAACATCACAGAGGCATGACATACTCAAAGTTCAGCTCATTTTGTTTACATATGAATTTATTATGCAATTAACACTACTCTGATCAGATTTCATTATAATTATTAAAAATAGCTACAGGCTTCTACAAATCACAAAATTTTTACACAAGGCTAGTATTGAACAGAGAACATTACCATAAAAATTTCAAGTTATTTCGAGCAGCGAGCTATTTTTAAAAATTCAAATACCAAAACAGCGACAATAAAGCTCGACAATTTTGACAATTAATCCGAAACACGAAAGTCCGAGGCTTTTTCATAAGACCAAGGGCTCGACATTGTTCCAATATCCACCGACTTACATGACTTTCGGGGTCTCGTTCAATTCTTTAAAGATTGAAGAGGTCCCGAATACATAAACGTCACATAAAATCATAACGAAACACATAATCACACATATTCACGTCTCGCATTTCATATGTATATTAAATTGTTCAACGAGCACTTCACTACAATAAACACATAACGAAATAAATCATATACGAGTTAAACGAGATGGAATCGACGAGGTACCATTCTCGGGAAAAACTCGAAAAACGAAACGAACACGAAGAGGCGAACACGAGGCTGATGCTCGACGGCACGCGTCATCTCGCGAGGGAAGAGCTGCTCGTCGCTGAGGTGCTGCTGCTAGGTCGTCACCGGGAAGCTGCCCGGTACTCGGGCTCGACGGCTCAGCCCCACAATAGTGCTCGTCGCTGCTGCTCGTGAGTCGTTGGCTGTCCGCTGCCGGACGACGGGGCTGCTTCCATTGCTCGGAAAGGAAGCCGACGGGGTGCCGCTGCTATGCTTGAAGGTCGTGAGAACGGGGATTCCTGCTAACCACGCACGGCTGCAGTCGAAAGGAAAAAATCGAACAGGGGCTGTTTCTTACTCGCGGCGTGGCTCTACTCGCGTGTCTATGGTGTTGCCGGCGGTCGCAGACGGAGGTGCTGGTCACGGCAAAGAGCCTGCGCGCGGAGGGCAGCGGCTCGCCGAAAGTTCGCGGTGGAGGAACTCGCGAAGGAGGGCTCGCCGTGGTGGTCGCCGGAAAGGTAGCAACGCGGTTGGGTGCCGAGCGACGGGCTGCGGTGGTTCACGGTGATCTGCTCACGGACAGGGACGACCGAATCACGCGGCGTCGACAAGATGAGGCGCGGGGAAAACTCGCCGGAGTTGTAGGCGCGCGGAGGAGCGACGGCGCACGGGAAGTGTTGCAGCAGCGGTTCGCGATGGAGAGTCGTCGGCGTTGCTTCACGTCGAGGTTTGCAGGGCGACGGTCGACGAGCAAGGGGTGATGACCTGTTACCAGCGAGATGAAGATGGTGATGATTGGCGATCAGATTTTCCTTATGTCTGCCGCGAGCAAAAAGAGCGAGAGGGAGAGAGAGATTGAGAAGGCTGCGGGCGGATTGATCGAGAGAGAGATTAGGGTACAAATTAATAGATTAGGTTTTATTTGTTCCTTAAGACACACCAAAGAGATTTGGGTCGGTCCGGCTTATTGGGCGAGAATATTAGGGCTTTTCCGGGCCGATAATACTTGAACAAAAAGGGCCCGAGTATTTCGTTCTTATGGGCTGAAAATAATAGGGCTCGATTCTGGGTTCTCGGGCTCGATTTAATCCGACAATAAAACTAGCTCGGTTGATCGGACGAAAGTTAAAATAAAAATAATATTCGACTATTATAATAAAATATATTTTACACATTTATAATTAAATACATCTTAGCATTTAGTAGACAATTAGACATTTAAATAAAATAATAACACTAATAAAAATAATGATAATAATGGCAATAATATTAAATAAAATCTCAATTATTCCATAAACAAACGGGGCGCTACAGAAACACTGTGTATTAGATGGAGGGTTAAAAATAGAAAAATATGAACAAAATATCTAAAACCACATTTATTTTATCAATGATCAATTAAGCCACATGGACAAATAATAAAAATAGGAGGGAGTATATATTATTATATATTTTAGTATGACACATGTTACTTGTGGGACTTATATGTGTTATATTATAATAAATTTTCTACCTTATAACACATAACTACATTAAACATAAATATATTAATTGATAAATAATTTTATTTCTAATTAATTTTAATAAATAATTTAGTATTATTATAAAGATAAATATAATTTATTTATTTTATATATACAATATGGATGTCAAATCGAAGCTCATCAAAATATGATTAACTTGATATATTATATATGTAAAACCGATAAGAAATACAAAAGATATCAACTTTTAAAATATATTTGCAATACAATGGTTATAATATTAAATGATATTAAAATACAATTAATACAAATATTAACTTATATCCAAGCCTAACTCCAAAGCATGATTTTTTGCCAAATAGAATTCCGAAGCACGAGAGTTTGCCACGTAGGCTCAGCTCATTCTGGAATTGTATATAGAGGGGATGTAACTTTCAGTTACACGATTTATTTTGACATGTTCCATTTTGAATGTTGTTCAGTTATGTAATGCTTCTTTATGTCCTAAAATACAATTTTTTTTTTTTTTTTTAATATATTTTGGTATTATAGAAATACATATTTTCCAATAAATTAATCTCTATTTTCTATTGCAGTCATACAATAATAAAAAAAAATATTTTTAGATATTACAAAGATACTTCAAATATTTTAAAAAATCAAATCCAATGAAATAAAACCTTTCATTGCTCCTGCAAAATGGTCCAGCAATATATTTTAAAATTTTAAACTCTAAAACTTTTTTTTCAAATTATTTATTAACAATTATTATTACTTTTTTATTTTAACTCATTAAGCAAGTTTTTTATGATATAACCAACTCTTTTAAAATTTTGTACACAATTGCTATGATAATAATTTCAATATTGTTTTATCTAATCAATTGTTCATAATCAATAAAGATTGCAAAAATTATATTATTGCAGTCGATATAAAGATTAATATGTGAGTTAATAGTTTATATTACATCGTTTATTTTTACCAATGATAAAATTTATAAAATGTGTATACTCATTATCTAACTTACGATTTCAAATATTACACACACACGTAACATACTACCTACTATACTTTTTATGTCATTTTGATTTTATCAACCATTGACTAAATAAATGACGTTTTGAATATTTTGTACATATTTTTTCATTATTATCCTTATTTAACTAATAAATAGACTACACATTTTCATATCCACTCTTAATTTTCATGTTATTAATTTTCATTAAAGAGAGTTATTATTAGCAAAAAAAAATTTATTAATTATTGTGCAATTTCTCGAAATGACACATATTATGAACAGTAGGGAGTATAAAATTTTATTTGCATCTATGCATATGCACATGATCAAATACTAATGTAGTTTAGTATTGAGTTTTCTTATTAATAATTTATGATAAAATTCTTTTAAGTTCCGTTTGTTTTGAGGGATCTGAATTGATTTTAAATTTTTTTGAATATAATTTTTTTTTACTTGTACACTCCTTGAATGGATGTGTTGAAAATATTATAAATAAATTGTTGCTCGCACCAATGGTGTTGACTCGCGGTGGTGATAAACCTAAATGATCGCGGACGGGTCAACGGTGATAAACAGTGGCTTTCAAATGATCTATGTTGAAGGAGTCATTTCAAATCTTTCAAAATAATGACTGAAAAACATATAGCATGAATTTGAAATCTTCCAACTTTCATTATCATCCCAACATGCTTGAGCATTTGAACTTGTAAATTTAAAATATATAGATTTTAAATCTCTCAGTAAATCCCTCAAAACAAAACTGGGTCTTATTTTAAATATGCATTTGTACGGGTGACTGTGAATTTAAGGTGGAGTTTGGAATTGCTGTAATACAACTACCCTATAATTTTGCCCTCAAGCAAACCAAAACCACACTTAGGTGGTTTATATATTATCGTCTGCCGCCTCCCTCGCTCTCTCTGGCTGAATCCCGTCGAAAATATTCATACACAGTTCAGTACGAAACCTAATTATGCCACGGACAACGACGGTGGATAGCCCTGGCTGCCCTTCTCTCCGAGCCTTAACCTTCGACGCCCTCGGCCTTGTCAAAGGTACAAAGGAGGGAAACCAATTGTTGTTAGGACCTTTTTAGCAGAATCATCAGTATGCTGGAGATGCGAATTTTATTTCAAAGTCCTTTTCCTTTTTCGCTTTGCCGTTTTTGATTGGTAATTTGCCATTGACTAGTTATTGAGGCACATGATGGAGAGAGCGGAGGTGCTGCGAAGATGGTGGAGAGGTGGGGCGAACCGGATGCATCTAAATGCGTGCTTGCAGTTTCCATGGTCGACCGAGAGTCTGACCCAGTAAGTAAGCTATTTTATGTTTGTCTTATGTCATTTTTGCATCATATTTATGTTCTTGCATATAATGTACTGATGTGTATGTGTACATGCTGCTTATTTCTGTTAACATAACTTTTAATTGGTTTTATATCTGACCGAATAGAGAATATAAACAGAACAATGTTGTCATTGAGGTCAATGAGATGCTTTTCTTGAGGTTTATTATGTGTTATTCATATTCAGTTTCCTGCGACTCGAGTGTTGTTTCAGCAATGTCTCCGAAATGTTGTTTCCCATATGTAAATTTAACTTGTTTGTTGTTGGTTGGGATGTGTATGTTGCAGCTGGTCGGTATTGCAAGGAAATGTGGTTCTGTAAGTCTTGCTTTTGCTTTTAAAACCCAAATATCTGAGCACCACTTTCGTAATTTGTACTAAAATATCAGTCTTTCCTCAGGTTGAGGTGATTAGTGCTATTAATGGGGATCTTCGGGCTCAAATACCGAACTTGCATCCATCTGCAGCAACTCCCGAGGAAGATGCCATCGTTGGTTTGCATTTGTTTTCAAAACATCAGCCCGAGTCATCATCAAGGTATCACAGCAATTTTCTGACCTTAGTCTGAAAAATCTGTTTCTCAGTGATACGTATATGCTAGTAATACTGTAATATTATGTAGCCCAGTAATGTTTTGGACCTTCTTTTGTGAGGATCAACATAATCTTTAGCTACTATGATGTTAGTAGAAGTAAGTAAACTCTGCATGACTTCCACTTTCTGTACATGGTTTGCAGAATTACAATTCCTTGTCCACCAAAGCACATATTATTCAACCATCGTTGTTTTTGTCTGTAGTTAGGATAACTAAATTTCATTTGATTAATTAATTGTCACTTTGAACCATACTCATTTCTGCAGCATGTCCTCAAAACAAACATTTCTTTACACTTGACATTGGAAAAACTACTTATATTATTATAAAAGAATGTTTAATATTAAATCAATGGGTCTTTCATCATATTCACTTATCTCATGTGTTTATATTGACTCGTCCAGATATCAATCAAACAGAAGAGATTTGACACTTCCTAGTAGTAGTAATCGAACTTTCTAATACTAATCCTCTAAGAAACAAGCTACTCAAAATAAAATTACAAATCATGAAAACTATGTAATGTCTATGTGTTCGTGGTTGGCCTTCAAATTTGAGATCAGTAACAGATGCATACTATGAATACTCTCCAATCAGAAATGACGACACTTGGAACTTAGTCCCTGCTGAATAAATGAAGATTGGATTATCTTTGCAATCATTTTATTGAGAAATAAGTTCTTTTCCTTCATTTATTTTGCATAATATTCCTATTAAGTTCTAAGTGAACCTATGTTTGTTTTTTACTCTAAACCAATTTTTACACTATATTGCTATTATTTATTTATTTATTTATTTATTTATTTTTTACTAAATATACACTCAGCTTGTCTTTTATCTTGTTTAAGCTCGTACGGTATTGAGTTTGTTTAGAGCGATAGAGGTGTTTGCGCTTGAAATCTCCAGATTTAATAGGTCAAAAACAAGTATGGGTAGGATTGGAAACTAAAAATAATTTGTGCATCTGATGGACTGTAAGTGGTGTGTAAAACAACCTACTGAAGGGTAACTTGTTATAACTTCAATGAGTAGTTAATGTGGGCTAGATTGCTGAAGTTGGAGAAGATGTTCAAGTATAAAAGGGTAATCAGAAGTCTTTTCAATATGTAGGTCTTTGTGTGGTCAATTAGTAATGAGACCAGAATATCTGGAGATGTATCAGCAGGATGTCTAGTTTAAATATGTAGTCTCCCTTTATATTAGGACTTGTGTTTATAAACGTTGTCAGTTTAACATTTAATGCTTCGACTCCCACTCGATACGAGGTAGTTTTCACAAAATCTTTCTGCTTCTTGTCTTTGGACTTTGTCTTGTGTAAGGTCGAATCATAGCTTCATGATATGCTGCACAGCTGCAGAAGTAAACTGTTAACTTCCTGAACTCATGATATAGGTCATGTACATTGCTTACCTGCACGACAAAAGGGCGTGCCAGTATGGAATCTCTTGAGTTTGGCAGAACTGTAGCAGATTTTGTTCGTGATTCCTCACCAACAGTGTGGAATGTATGCGGATCAGGTGATATTTTATGTTCAAAAGTGGATGGAAAAGAGAATTATGCTTTGTTTGGAGGGTGAGTATTGCTATTTCACTGCTTTTAAAATAAAATTTGTAGTACCTTGTCCGTGGTCAAACGATACATATGTTTTAACACAGGAAGGGCGTTGAAGTTAATGTATGGGATCTTCAAAAGTGTGTTAAGATCTGGACAGCAAAATCTGTAAGTTATCTCTCTCTCTCTCTCTCTCTCTCTTGTCGATTTACAAAATTTTTCAACTACTTGCTTTAGGTAATGATTTACTGAATTTAATATCCTTCTCAGCCCCCAAAAGACAGTCTTGGAATATTCACCCAATCTTGGTTTACATCTGCAACCTTTTTGTGTAAAGATGATCACCGCAAATTCGTCGCTGGCACAAAGTCTCATCAGGTAATTATCTGCCAGATATTATTGGGAATTTTCCATTATGACTTAGTGTAGTGTTTTGTTATTCTACACTGCTCAGGCAGATTTTCATGTTTGCTAGAAGAATTCCTTTTTCGTCCAGCTGTGAACTGAAAAAGAATTTATAATCGCCAGCTTTCTCCGGGAAGATGAAGATCAGTTGGCATCTTTTTAGCGAGATTTTTCTTGTTAAAGGAAATATATTAGTCAATGAAAATATAGAAAAGTCCATTTGCATGTCTAGTGCATTGAATGTTGGATGATATAGCTAGAGAAAGGTAGTCAGCTTTCATTGATAATCTGGAATAACCTTACGAATCATTGCAGGTTCGTCTATATGATATTGCGGCTCAGAGAAGGCCCGTGATGTCAATTGATTTCAGAGAAACCCCAATTAAGGCAGTCTCTGAAGATATTGATGGTCATACAATTTACATAGGAAATGGCTCGGGTGACCTTGCTTCTATCGACACACGAACAGGTATTTCTTGCTTATCTTATAGTCTTGACCTAGAGTAGTGCAGTGTTAACAAATTTACAACTTGGCGGTATGACGTGGCAAGTTGTTTTATCTAACAAACAAGTCTGCTTATACTCTTCTTACTCCTAACGCTATGACCGTAACTTGATTTCGCACTTCAGAGGATATTTGAAGTTGATTTTGCACTTTCGACTCAAACATGTATTTTGTTATTTATTTTAACTGTCGCATCATGTTTACAAGACAATAGTTAGATCCATAACACCTTCAAAAATTATGCTTCAGATGGACAAACCACTTAGTTCCATAACATCTTAACTTGAGTTATTATACAAGTATGAGAAAAGAAGTCTTCTGTTATGTTTCCATGCCTCTCACATTGCATCACATCAATCACTCTCTCTATCTTGTCTATGAATGTTACTCGCCGCTGATATTAAAGTTAAACTACATCCTGCTAATGTATTGTAGGGAAACTTTTGGGATGCTTTATTGGAAAATGTTCTGGAAGTATAAGATCCATAGTGAGGCATCCTGAACTCCCTGTGATTGCTTCATGTGGTGAGTGTATAACACATGATGCATGTTTCTGTTGTTGGGTTTTAATGTGCAGGCCCAGGTTCCGCAAAAGTTTTTTTTTTTATTTATTTATTTTTATCTGAATTGTATCATTATAGCGAAATTATCAAGTTCTAATTCATATTACATATAAAATAAGTCGTCATATACTTGTTAACTTTTACTTTAGACATTGTTATTTTCAAAGCGCCATGCCATGTTTCTTTAATTATTTCCGAGTTTCTTTGGGTAATTGATCTAATAAACAAAGTCTGATACTACTTAAATGACATGCATATTTGTAGTAATTGCTAACCCTTAAATTTGTTTTTGTATCAGGTCTCGATAGGTACTTGCGCATTTGGGACATAGAGTCGAGGCAACTTCTGTCAGCAGTATGTGTAACGGAACTGTTTGCATTTATTTTAGTTAATTGAACTCAAATATGGAATTGCAATTTTAGTCCAGATGTGTGGCGAAAGCTCATTCATATAATGATATCCTCAAAACAGGCCCTGAATATTATTCAAGGGGTGCTGATACAAATTTAAAGTGTTTGGTTGTGAAACTTCCTAAACAATGGGAAAGACGAATTTCTTATCCTGTTCTGCATTTTTAACAACAGATTCAATTGGAGTTGGTTGATTATCTTGTGATAATTTCGTCTACCTTTTTTCATACTAATGTTGGTGTTTTGATTTAATGCAGGTTTTCTTGAAGCAACATCTTTCTGCTATTGTTTTTGATTCACATTTCCATAACAAAGGTTTATATACTCACTCACTCTTTTCCGAATTCTTGTTCTTTCACATCTTGTGTGCCCATATATATGCTCTGGCTCCTCTTTTGGTATACAAACCCTTTCATATTACGAGCAATTGATGCTAAAATACTAGATCATGTTCCCCTTTTTTTGTGTTTTTTGTTTTTTTAGCTCTCATAGCTAATTATTTTTGTTGCCTGGCTGGCAGTTGCTTTGGATCCTACTGCACAAGTTACAAATACGGTAGACATAGCTGATGCTGAAGCACATCCTGCCAAAAGGAAAAAGGAATCTAGAGAAGATTGTCCAAGTAGGAAGAAGAAATCTAAGAGTAGCAGGAAAAGGTCTAAAGTTGAAGAAGATTGACATGTCATTAGCTGGAAATGACTCTGAATATTTTCCTAAAAGAAGCTTAAACTTGTCCATCCTTGTCGATTTCAAAGATATTTTCATTCCATGCCAGATTTCCGTAAGAGGGTCTAATCTGAGGATGCAAAGGGCCTCGTATGAGAATTAGTTGAGCTACTACAAGTGTTTGAGACTTTTGTGTTGTATTAGTGAGAAATATTTACCCTATGTTCCTACTGTTTTGTCTTCGATTGTATCCTGCATACTGAGAGTATTCGAAAGTGAGGCTTTTTTTGGTATTGCTGAAGTTGAAATGCGCGAATTGTACTCAAGAGGTTTTTCTACCCTAACAACAAAAATCCAAGTTAACTGGACAAGAACAAAANAACTTATCAATATTGTACTTTTCCAATTGAAGAATATAAAAAGCTTGGGGAGAATTTTCAACTGGAGAAAGGTAAAAAAAATTACAAGCAACAGTTCTGCGGTTTTTACATAAAAACAAATGACCGCTACTAATTAGGGTGATTCTACCGTCAGGTACCCCTCGTACATGCCTCGTACATGCATAACAACAGGTACCCCTCCAATTCCTGCCAAGTGTCTCTTTTCATAATTAAATTAAAAAAAAAAATAAAAAAATCGTATAGGTTAGTACAAAAATACCCTTACTTAAATATACTAATTAAAAAAAATGTTTAACTATAAATATATTTACTTAATAGGTGTTTCATTAATCATATATTATTATTATACCCAAACACATTATCATATTTCAAATAAACCTCTTATATTGAAATTACATTTTCTTGTATTCATCATCATCGGAATTCATCTTCATCCTCTCCATGTTTCCAATTTCCGAACAGAGCACCGGCAGCAGCAAAAAATTAAAACGATCAAACATTTTGCAATCGTTCATGAATTCATGGCAATCGATCTCTTCCTTTTCGCGTTGGTTTCAAACCGTTAAATCGAAATGTTTTGAATTCCAATCGCAGGCACGATAAACGAAACTGAAACCATATTCTGTGAATTGTTCATTTGTATTTCGAAATTCTTTTCCAAATTTATCGATTCGGGTATGAGTTAATTAATATTCATATATGTTCGATCATTGATATTTTGCGATTTTTCTCTCTTCCTGCAATTTCAATCGCAGGCACGATAAACCAAAATGAAACCATATTCTGTCAATTGTTCATTTGTGTTTCGAAATTCTTTTTCAAATTTAGCGATTCGGGTATTAGTTAATGAATATTCATATATATGTTCGATCATTGATATTTTGCGATTTTTTCCTCTTTCTGCAATTTAATTTCATGATTTTTATTTGAGGATGCGGGTTTTTGAAGTGTTATTTGTGATATACTTAGCAAACAGTTTACATTCTCGACATGTATGAGGATGATGACTATGTTGTATTTATTCCTTAATGTGGTTGCCCGATTGTCATATAATCTTGGTTGAGTAAAGCCTTTGAAGGATAACCAGAGTATGAAGAACACATTCGTCAACGGCAGAAGGGCTAAACTGTGTAGAAAACTACTTGGAATAGTTTGCAGGTACATGCTCATTCATTCAGATACTGGTGTCTTGAAATTTCTTCTGCTCAGAATTCCACTCCCGGAGAGTTCTTTGCAGGTGACTAAAGGAGTAGGCGAGTAGCCTGTAGCTTCTAAAGATGTACTTCGGATTGGTTGTAGTTATGTAGTGATTGCAATGTTGCACATTTTCTTTGTACTATGCATGATGACTCGAGTACGTATTGTTCAATTTCTACTGAGTTGTGAAGTCTGGTATAATCTATGAATAAATGCTTGGAGTTTGTATTGTTGAACACTTTGGCAGGGCAATTGGTGTGAGAGTATTATTGTATTCATACATATTGAATGTGAACTCATCAGATTTTAAAGTTGTTTTGATGTATTGTAGACATTAATAAACAATTGAAACAAGCACAGAAGTCATTGTTAAACAATGGAAAAACACAATTTGTCATATTTAATTCTAATTCACTGTCATAGTCATTGTTAAACAATGGAAACACAGACAATTTGTGCCATATTTCATACCAATTTCATATGTAATTTGCTCTCAGATGTGTAATGTATCGTCATAATGAATTTAAAAAACATGTTTGATTAAGTAGGATGTTTCAGTTTGCCAATGCAATATAACTAAAAACCAACCGAACAAAAGTTGTACAAAAAAGGTATTAACAAAATGCTGATCTCAAAACATAGTAAACATGTTCGGCGACAAAAGGACATAATAATTGACAAAAGGACAATAAATTATTAATTCATACACCGAACGTACTAGTTCACCGACAATCAAAAGCCTTATCGAATTTTTCACTTGTCCCATGCAAAATGTAATTGTTCAGACATCAACTTGAAAGACTAGATAATTCCAATTCACTCTCCTAAAGTTGAGAATGCATCCTTCAGCTATATCAGCATCATCTATGAAAGCCTTAAGTCCAGTGAATACGTGTTTGTTCCCTTCCTTTTTCACCCGCACTGTCCACTCCTTGCCCCGATGACGAATAATAGCAGACTGAGAATGTAGATGGAAGTGTCTGTAAATAAAGATTAAAATTATGTCAAATGTACATATCAACAATTATTTTACAATTCATAAACAAGAGAAGTTTCGGTTGGAATAAAACCTGTCTCCCGCGGGTGACAAGGGTGAAAGAAACCTTTATACTGAAGGAACCATCAATAGTTTCTGCATCAGTAGCGCTAACTTCATCGTCGGAAATGCAACATCCCAACACAGTTCTAGTTACTTTCATGCAACAACTAAGGCTAAAATGATAGACAATAAATGTGTTTGGACCTCGAAGTTCGAAACACAGTAGCTCATATATCTTCAGATGATTATCTCTTGCAAATTCCTCCCATCCATCTGAAAAGCCAATTCTGGATCCAAAACGCTTAATCACTACCGGCCATTTGAACGCATCATCATCGTCGGTATTCTGAAGGGTGCATTCTATGGGAAGAAAATCTTCGATCCCCTGATTAATTTTAGGTGGAAGAGGCTAGGAAACATGAAATTTGAAAATTGTTAAGTGATGAACTAACAACAAATTCGAAAACATGGCCATGCAATTGAATATCAAAATAGACCGTTTACCAGTCTGTTGCTATCGGGGTTGAAAATAATTTTCATGAATCGGTTGATAGCCAACAATTGAGGCTTGCAGCCAGGCAGTCCGAGCACATTATTCCCCCGCATTAACCGATTCTGCTGACACAAACTATTGTCAAAGCGTATAAATTCAAAATTGTTCGCCTTGGCCAGCTTGAAAACCAAAAAATCACCAACTTTTATGCTGTTATCAAGAACGAATTCAGCCCATCCATCAGTGAAAAATATTCTTTCACCCAAAAATTCCACTGTCAGGTCCCAACAGCGCCCACTTGCAACAGTGTCGCTATGCACTGTACAAGTAATGGGGAGCAGCACCCCATCAAAATACGGATCATTGGCATGGGGAATCGCCTATTATCCACAACATCATTGAAATAAAAAAAACAAGTATGTAACATTTTGTTAATTTATAAAATACAAATTGAATTAAGATTTTCCATACCCATTTTCCACCATATAAATTTTGCAAACAGATATAGGATAATGCTTAAAAAATGCATATTCTCTTACTCATACCCATATCGAAAATTCACAGACAATTGTCCATTAACCTTCGTTTTTCACAAAACAAAAACACACAACATAATGAAATTATTGGCTAAGAATGCTTACCAGGAACGGATCTTCTGGTCGAAGAATAACTTTGATAAATATCGGCAACTCTGAAATGTTGTTGGCCATTGTCCGATTAACCGGTTGGTTGCTCTGAATTTTACTGTGAAAGGTTAAAAATGTCGTCGTCCTTGAGATGTGGTTGTAATGGTGAATATGGTAGGGTTAATTTCTGTTCTCGCTTAAATGCTTTGTCATAGCCTGTCTTGGGCTTTTGTTTTTTTTATTAATAAGTTGAATTATAAGTGGACTTATTAAAGGGCTTTGGTGTAGACTAAAACTTGTAGTTGGGCTTTGCAATTAGTCAAAATGGGCTTTTATGTTTCGGTTAGTTTGCATCAGTTAATCAAATTTTGGCCACCTGTTTAAGCAATAAAAAAAATGCAACCACAAANTAAAAAAAAAAAAAAAAAAAAAAAACTCTGAATTAAAGTAAAGTGGTGCTTAACCGAACAACCCCAATTTTGTAGTTAACAAGAGAACATGTTATTCAAGACAAGAAGATTCTACCGAATAGTACTAAAATTATTGAAAAATAAAAAATGAATAACCCAGGACCCTTATAAAACCATTAACTGAATAACAATGGCTTATGGAATCATCTATAGATTTCTCCTATTACTGCAATTTGTGTCCAAACAAGTACAAAATGATGAACACAACTATAAACGACAAGCACACTGTAGTTTTTCTCTTATTCCGGAGGATCTTTTGCATTTGTTTGTGCTCGATATCCAACAGTCTATTTTCCTCCTTCAGTTTTTTGTTTTCATCTTTAAGATCTTTAAGGAGATCACGCAACTCCCTTTGCATATTTTTGTTCTCGATTTCCATCAATCGTTTTTCCTCTTTAAGTTTATCCATTTCAGCACCAATTTGTTGAACGGCATCACGAAACTCATTAGATTTACGCAGCAGACCGGGAATTAATTGCTTTGAACGACTGCACATTGGAGCATCAAACCACGAAAAAAAAGGGCATCCTCCTATCTGCAGAATAGAGGAAACAAATGAGAAAATCAGCACAATTTAGGGTTCGTTAACCCTAAAATTGACAAATCTTACCTTGTAGTTAGGGCAAGAATTGAATCGCCTTCCAGGATTTTCCGAAGTCCACGACGTGCGAATTACAGAAATTTCGCCGCAATAACACTCATTCAACCCCGTCACATGTGAGCTTTCAGACATTTTTTTTTGCAGAACTGAATAAAATATTATCTAATGACTTATGCAGTAGGGTTCTACTGAAAAAATTTGTGTGTAAACAAATCTATTTAATATGTGTACTTAAATTTGGAAAGGCGACATTTTTGGTATAATTCCATCCATTAATCTAAATTGTGATTTTGCAGCAAATAACCTTCATAATTAACCGTATTAAACGCAACAACCAATACCACATCCAAAATGTCAAAACCAATGCTAATCGTCATTAATGATTGGTAGATTAAGAAATTAATTAAAAATGAATGCGAGTTTAATTAGACATAATATTTTGCATCCATTTGTTGTGTGGATGTTAATTAAAAATATATTTACAAATATTGCATTTTGTATGTGGATGCGCAATAAAAATTAATTACCTTATTTTATGGTGCTATCAGTGCCCAA